TGCCCGGGTTAGAGCTCCTGGGCGGCCCGCTTCCTCTGGGTTTTGTAAGGTTGGGTGCAGAGCAGCCGCCTGGGATCTGCTCAGTGCTCAGGCCCATACTGGAAGACTCCCGTCATTTTTTTATTATGTTTATTTACTACATAGGTGTGTTCTGTCTTCATCAGTCTTCCTAAATTTGATGATATATTTCAAAATATATTACAGGTATGTCCATACATAGCATGTGTAAATTCTTAGAATCATTATTTTTCTAGGGCTGATAGATTTGGGGGAGACACATTTTATATATAAATATATATACATTTATATTTAAATCCTGAAAATTCAGTTGTTCCTGGTTTTTCAAGACCAGGTTCACCGGGCAGTGGTGGCGCTCGCCTTTAATCCCAGCGCTTGGGAGGCAGAGGCAGGTGGATTTCTGAGTTCGAGGCCAGCCTGGTCTACAGAGTGAGTTCTAGGACAGCCAGGACTACACAGAGAAACCCTGTCTCAAAAAAACAAAAACAAACAAACAAAAAAGACTGGGTTATTTTGTGTAGCTTGGCTATCCTAGAACTTGCTCTATAGACAAGGCTGTCTTAGACTCACAGAGATCCACCTGCCTCAGCCTCTAGATACTAGAAGTGCTGGAGTTAGGTGCGCCCACTACCATTGCCTGGCTTTGGTTGATGGTTGGTTGGTCTGTTGGTCTGTCAGTTGGCTTTTTAAGACAGAGTTTTTCTGGGTAGGCCAGGACCATTCTGGAACTTTTTCTGTAGACCAGGTTGACCTTGAAATCTACCTTCTTCTACTTCCCAATTGCTGGAATCGGGAACACACCACCACCACCTGCTCAGTTGCATTTGATAAACGCATCCACTACCTTTGTAACCTGGAGCTGCATGAACACATAGGCTATGTAAGCATAAACATGGAAAGTCTTTACATGGCATCCCTTCTCAATGACCATTCAACCCTTCAGAAGGAACAAAAAGCATCCTCATCAAAGATGTTTTCTTTGATTGAGAATGTCATATAAATGGCATATATAATGTCACATAAACGGCATATAAGTCTGAAGAATATTGTTTCTCTTGTACAACCCTGGGAGTGAGGTTTGGGATTCATAGTCATCCAAGAGACAGACTGTCTCACAAACTGGCCATCTCTCTAATGTTCTCACTAGTGATGTATGAGAATCCCAGTTATTCTACATCCTTAGTAACAAACACACTTGTCTTCATTGTTACTGTTTCTGGTATCCATGCAGTATTATCTCATTATGGTTTTGATCTGTATTTCCTGACAACTAGTGATATTAAACAGATTTTCACATGTTCATTGGCAACTCATGTGTCTTCCTGTATAGAGCATCTGTTCGTATCTTTGCCCATTAAAATAATTGGGTTATTTGTTGTTACCAAGGAGTAGATGATATATATCCTGGATACTGCTCCTTTATTAGATTCATAATTTGCAAATACCTTCTCTTATATCATGCGCCTATTCACTTATGTAAAAATGTCTTGGTTAGCTAAAATTTCTAATTTGATGAAGTATAATTTAATAGATTCTTATTCAGCATACTGCTTTGTGTGTCCTCCCCTGTTTGCTTTTCTGTTCCCTGTGTTGATGTTCTGCTTTAAAGATTTGTAATTTGGGACTTTTATTTTCAAGATTAAGACTTATCTCAGAATTATATTTGTAACTTTAACAACAGCTTTATTTATTTAGGAGAATTCAATCCTAGCTGTCTTTGGAGTCATCTAATGAGCTTAAAAGGGGAGGTGGGAACACCTAGCTCTTCCAGCTGACTAACAAAATTAGTCTTGAGTTAACCTATTTTCTCACCTCTAAAATGTCAGTTTTAGAGGTTGTGTCTCAGTGAGAGCAAAGGTAGAATAAGTAAACATCAGAAAAAGTCACAGCGTTCTCTACGGAAAGAGTCTGTGTTAAAGATGTATTCTAGTCAGATTTTTGCCTTCTTAAAAAATGTGTAGGGGAGTTAGATGGCTCAGTGGTTAGGAACATTAACTGCTCTTCCAGAGAACCTGGGTTCACTTCCTAGCACCCACATGTTTGTTCACAATCATCTTTAACTCCAGTCCCAGAGGATCTGGTTCCCTTTTCTGGCTCCCGTGGGCACAAGGCATGCATGTTGTATACAGATGTACATGCAAGTAAGACACCCATATACATAAAATAAAAATGTTCAAAAGAAAGAGATGAGGATGTATATATGAACAGTCCACAAGTTGTTCTCATGTTGTTTTAATATTGATACCTATTTAGATAGATAGATAGATAGATAGATAGATAGATAGATAGATAGATAGATGCACGCACACACACACACACACACACACACGTGCTTGTGTTAAGAATTTGACTTTTGACTTGTTTTAAGAGTTCTAGATAGCCGGGTGGTGGTGGCGCACGCCTTTAATCCCAGCACTTGGGAGGCAGAGACAGGCGGATTTCTGAGTTTGAGGCCAGCCTGGTCTACCAAGTCAGTTCCAAGACAGCCAGGGCTACACAGAGAAACCCTGTCTCAAAAAAAATAAAAAATAAAAATAAATTAAAAAAAAAAGAGTTCTAGATTTGAGGCTTGGAATATAGTTCAAGGGTCGAGTGTGGGCCTGGAACATGTAAGGCTCAAAATCCAGTTCCCAGCATGTGCATGCACCAAACACACACACACACACACGCACGCACGCACGCACGCACGCACGCACGCACGCACGCGCGCGCACGCACGCACGCACGCACGCCCCAACTACCAAGTGTAAATTGGTGGGGAGAACTATTTTATTTCTTTAAGAAAGTATCCTTTTTAGACTTGGTACCAAATGAAAAAGTACCTGTTATTCTCACCAGGAGTCATTTTCATACTAGGAACTGCTGTCTTGAAAAGAATGTGATAACTAGAATTTAACTCAGAGCTGTTGCTCCTCCTTAGTGTTTTAACCCAGGCTGTCCTGAAATTCCTGATCATCCTGTCTTACCTTCCGAGGGATTACAGGGTGTGTGCCATTATTTTCCACCAGTAATTTTATTTTAAAATAATACCTCTTACACACTAGAATTTACATAATGAGGTAGTTTTATTTTGCCTCTTAAACCAGGAAAGGGACTCTTCAATAATAACATCAAGATCTTGCTCTCATTCGGTTTTTCTTTAAAGGCAGCTGAAATAACACAGTAGGACTGTTTGAATCAAAGTAGTCTGGATTCAAGTCTGGATTCTGCTGTTAACTGTAGCAGGGCAAGGTCCTTCGAAGATCTGGGACCTACGTTTTCTGATCTGTCAGTGTTTTTTCTCTCCATTCATCTCACATTGTATTTACAAAGCAGTCAAGGAAATTGAATTTTTCAGAGTGAAGGTAAGCTGAGCCCAAAAAGTAGAAAGGTGCCTTTTATAGGTGGTAGTATGCTTTGGGCTAGAAGTGTTGTATGCCTTTTTAAAAGACTCCAAGTTTAGAAATGTTTTCCATTCCAAAGCTGAAAGAACTCATTAGTTTTTGTGAGTTTTGACCTTTCTCTTAAAAAAAAAAAAAATGACATATGTCTTCACCTTTTCATTACATTTTGTTTATTCAGTTATTGTGTGCTTGCATGGGGTGGGGTGCCATGGTATACTTGTGGAGGTTAAAGAACAATTTGTAGGAGTTACTTCTCCTTTGATTAGTCTTATTAAAGCACTGTACCAAAGTCTGGACTAAGTGCCACCGTTAATCCCAGTACTCAGGAGGTAGAGGCACTCTCTGAGTTTAAACTTGGTGAGTTTAAAGCCTGTCTGGTCTATGGTGAGTTCCAGGACAACCAGGGATATATAGTGAGAGCCTGTTTTAAAGATTCTCCTCAATGTCACCAAATGTCTTAATTAGGAATATATTGTGAAAAGGGAAAAAAAAATCTACACACCTTTACCTATTTTCCTGTTCCTTGTCTAATGGAAAGCCAAAATATAATATGAAATGTAGCTAATCTTTCCATCGCTCTTCATATTATGGCATTTAGTGTCTCTCACTAAGTAGAGGATGCCAAGCTACTAAGACTAGATTTATAAAATTCCTATTCGGTACTAGAGGCTAGCCAGGAAAGGAGCATTGTCACCTTATTAAAAATGTTATTCTCTGGATTATTTTTATATAATTTGGCTTTAGAACACACAACCCATTCTCAGTAAACTCAGAAACAGTAGTGTTCTTTCTTTATGTTGCTGTGGCAGACTTCTGGTGGCATTGAAACTATTAGGCAGTTTTCACAAGTAAACAACAGTCATACTTGGCTTTGGAATAGTAAATGCTCTACCTTAATGCAGCTCTGTAAGCTGGCTTATTTCAATTAAACCTTTTAGAAGCCTGGTATGATAAGAGCTTGGAGATTTGTAAAGCAAAAACCCCAGAAACTTAATGGTTTTCTTCATTTCAGTTGATGGTGGATTGAAAGAATTGTTTTTCCCCATTAAAAACAAAAATTAATGTGCCTTCTATATAGACTAGTGCCTTTAGTAAAATGACAGAGAACTAGAACATTCCTCTATTGCAGTGGTTCTCATCCTTCCTAATGCTGTGACCCTTCAATACAGTTCCTCATGTTGTGGTGACCCCAACCATAAAATTATTTTCATTGCTACTATTAAGAATTTTAATATAAATATTTTTGAATATGGACATTTGCCAAAGGAGTCACACCCACAGGTTGGGAACCACTGCTCTATTGGAAGCTAGCGGACTTAGAATCTAATTGTGGTCATGGATGTAAGGAAGAAAGGAAGGAAGGAAGGAAGGAAGGAAGGAAGGAAGGAAGGAAGGAAG